AGCCGCATAAATAAAAACTAATTAGAGCTATATATATTATTAATATATATGTATGTAATGAGATWTAATAGCTTTAATGAGTTTTTAAGTGAATCTCAGTTTTAATTTCTAATTCTGGCTTAGCTCAATTAGCTTTGGCATGAAATTATAGCTTGGGAAGACCCCAGCTTTTTTTGATATCAGCTTCAGTTGGATTTTTTTTTTTGGTTTGGCCAAAAGTTTAGCCTTAAATTTAGCTCTAATTCCACTGACACAATTTTGAGAGTCGAGCTTAATTCGTTGTTAATTGATTAGGACAGAATGCAGAAATCGAAGGTTGCTGGGGTCGGTTCAGTTGAAGCCAAATATTCCAGTCGCGCTGCTAGTTAATAATTAATCGTGGCTAAATTAAATAGCAATTAGGCCGTCGTGTTGAGTTAATTGCGTCTTGGAAAGCGCTTGTCCCAAATTGCTGGCATTTTGCAAGGGCAACAAAGTGTTTGCCAGTCAATAGGGGCGGGGCCGCCCAAAGGGGTTGAGGCTGCGGCGGGCGGGTGTTGCGTAACACGCCCAAAAACGATAATTGCTGTCATGACAAACGCAAAAATAAAGTTTAAATAATAATAATTTCGCTGGCTCCTGCGCGGACAGGGAAACATTAAGAAACCATTAGCAGCAGCAGCAGCAGACATTTGTGGCCTCCGCTGGCTGTTAAATAGTGAAGCTACTGCAACAGCTGCTGCTGCTGCTTCTGCTGCTGCTTCTGCTGCTGCTTCTGCTGCTGCTGGTTGAGTGGGTCTGCTGCACAGAAGGGTCAATGCAGTCGACAGTCGAGCGAGAGCAGCGACAACGGCATCATTTTTCAAGTGCCACCACTCGACAGTCGCATGAGTGGGTGGCTTGAACCCGGGCGGGGCCCGGGCCGCCTCAAATATGCGCATTCATTAGGGTTTAATAAATATTTTTTTTGCGAGCACACTTGCTGCTCGCGCTGAAGAGCGGCGTGGTCAAAGGGTCGATTGCCGTCAACGTTTAGCAGCTGCCGCAGTGTGTCAAGTTGTGGCTCAAACAAGGCTTAAGGACTTCAATGTGAACAGTCACACGCACACACATACAAAAACAGCAAGTCAATACATATATAGTTTTATATTCGCATTGTTCAATGCAAATTTGTAGCTTCAGATTGACGGTCAATCGCTCGCACCGCACGTTTGTCAAATATTAGCACCGTCTCGCTTGGCGCAGTTCCGCCGCAAGGTCGACCTGGTCCAAGTCCATTGTGGACTTAGTGTTTTGTATTTGATATTTGGCGTTCATGTTTGTGCTCTTCACACTCTTTTCGCACGTCATTTTCAATTTTTCCAGTGCGTTTTGTGCACAGTTTATGATGTGGCCTGGCTACGGCCTGGTCTTGGCCAAATACTAATTACTGCACGCTGTGCTGTCTCACCTATTTTCCATGCCCAGGCCAACTAATTACCGCACTAATAAGCAAACAGTAATGGCCCAAAGAGCATAAACAATGCGAGTCACAGGCGACGTGACGTATGCGCAATATTTATCAAAATCTATCGCATGCTATATTCAAAATATACCAAACCTCTCACCGTCTCTCTCTCTCTCTCAGTCTCACTCTGTCTCTGTCGCCGTCTTGGCTGGCCTCTCTCGAATGTCTCCGCTCTCTCTCGCCCTCTCTTTCTGTCTCGGACGCTGTTCTCTTTCGTGACTGCGCTCAATGCCAGCGTCTTGTAAAAGTTGAATGAATTAAAATATATATGTATGTATATATAAATCGTCTTGGCGTTCGGGTTCAAGTTTGTTTTTCGGCTGTCGCTTGGCCGGTTATTGGCTATTTTCGATTACACTGCTTAGAGCCGCTTTGAAGGTCGCTGAGCAAGTTCTTCTGCTGCGGAATGTTATCAATGTGTGTTGACCATGAGCCTCCACAGACAAACAAAAGGCCGATAAAACAAAACAAAAAAACGAAAACAAAAACAAACACAAACTTGTTGCTGTTGCAGTTTTGTTGTTGTTGGGCGAGTTAATTGACGAGTTCCTCATTGCATGATTGTGACGCCTTTTACAGATCCCTGTCTCTACATAATGCGCTTCGCCAACCGCCTGCAGCTGGGCCCGAAGACCCACGAGGTGTCCATGACGGCGCTGCGCATCGTGCAGCGCATGAAGAAAGACTGCATGCACTCGGGACGACGGCCCACCGGACTGTGCGGCGCCGCTCTCTTGATAGCCGCGCGCATGCACGAGTTTAGCCGCACCATAGCCGACGTGATCGGCGTCGTTAAGATACACGAGTCCACGCTGCGCAAGCGCCTCTCCGAGTTCGCCGAGACGCCGTCGGGCGGCCTCACGCTGGAGGAGTTTATGACCGTCGACCTGGAGCGGGAGCAGGATCCGCCCTCGTTCAGAGCGGCGCGTATCAAAGATCGTGAGCTCATACAAAATGTAAGTAAATAATTCTCTATCAATATAATCTAGCAGAACTAACTTTCGTTCCTTAATGTAGATGGGCGTGCACGAGCTGACCGAGCTGCAAAAGGAGATCGATGCGCATTTGGAGAAGGATATTGGCAAGTATACCGAGAGCATGCTGCGCAAGGTGACCAAAGGCAAAGTGACGACGGCATCGATACAGGAAAAGTCGGACAAATTTGCGCAGAAATCGGAAAAGGAACTGGAGCTGGAGGAGTCTAGACAATTCATTGAGGCTTCCAATGCTGAGGCCATCAAGGAGTTCATTGCCAACAACACGGACGCGGACACGGAGCTGGAATCGAAGCCGCATACGGCCATGGCGAATGCCATGATTGAGGGACTGCGGCCCGACATCGAAGCCATTTGTCGTGTCACCGAAAGCGACTTGGAGGATGTGGAACGGGCCAGGCAGCCAATGGAGACGGAGCTATATATTGACGATTTGAATGACGAGGAGCTGGATCAGTATGTGCTGACAGCGGAGGAGGCCGACACCAAGCTGAGCATGTGGAAGAACCTGAACGCAGAGTTTCTACGCGAGCAAAAGGAACGCGAAGAACGCATGGCCAAGGAGCGTGAGGAGGGCAAGCCGGAGAAGAAGAAGCGAAAGCCGCGCAAGAAAGTCATTGGACCCTCGTCCACAGCTGGCGAAGCCATTGAGAAGATGCTGCAGGAGAAGAAGATCTCTAGCAAGATAAATTACGACATTCTGAAAACCCTCACAGAGGGCATGGGCTCCCTTACGGGCGATAGCGAGGCCTCAGCGGAGGCGCCCAAGCCCAAGACGTTGGAGGAGCTGGCCCAGACGCCCGCCATTGTGGAGGAGGGTCCGATTTCCAGTAAGCAGAGCCGCGGCAAACCGAGCTACGACATGCCTGGACCCAGTCGAAAACGCGTCAAGCTAGAGGCCGGCCTGCCCGTGAGTCAGCCAGAGGAGCAACTGGAAAAGAAGCCAGAGGTCGCGCTGGAAACAGGTAAGCCAACGGCTTCACTTGCATTGCTGAAAAACTCATTGCTATCTCTGCTATTTCAGACGAGTTGGACGAGGATGCCGAGGTGGATGAAGCTGATGCCGAGCCAGAGGCGGAACCAGAGGCTACGCTGCAGGATATGCTAAACCAGGGCGCTGGCGATGAGGACGACGAGTACGGCTACGGCTTCGACGAGGAGGAGGAGTACTARCCACAGCGACATGGCATGACATGGCATTTAGCAATCATTATGGCACATTCTGTATGGTCGCTTTTATACACAAATTGATAATCAGCAACTACTCATAATCTAATTAAATTAAGCTTTAAATCTACAGACATCTTTTCCATCATATTCCACGTCTATTTCTTGCTGCACTCTGCACTTGTTGCAGTTTCTTGTTCTCCTTTTTGCGTGTTAGCAGCCATTAAATCATCGGCCCCTCCTGCCCGGCGGCCTTAGCGCAGCCATTTACATGTTGAAGCCGTGTTGCCGCTGTCTACCCGCCTGCCTGCCTGCCTGCTGGCGCTGCTCGAGTGGCATAGGGCGGCGGAGTCGAGGTTTTTGCTGCCTCTCTGTTGCTAGTTTGCTTCTAATTGTTGGCGCTGCCGTGGCGCGCCTGCAAGTGCTGCAAATAAATATTTCACTCTTAATCATGTTTTGCACTCGCTGTGCACTGTGCGCGCGCTTGCCTTTGTGCTTGTGTTGTTTTTGTGCCGTAGCGCCCTGGGCGGCCAGACGGCCAGACGGGCAGCCAGGCAGTCGGGCAACCAGTCGGCCGACCAGCCAGGAACTTGACTTGGCTGCTCGCCTCACGGCCTCACGGCCTCACTGCCTCACTGCTTCGCTGCTTCACGGATTCACGGCCTGGCAGACTGTTGAGTGCCAAGTGCCCGGCAATGAGCTGTTGGGTCCTTGGACCACTTGTCTTTGCGATTTTATAGTTATTATGTTGTAATTAGTGTTAATTTAGTTGCTTCCCGAACTTGGCGAACAATTCGCAAAGTGCTTCATACTTTTAGGCAGCTGCAATATATCAAAATCTACTTTAAAGCCACAGCTCACACGGCTTAAGCTCTTGAGTGCCGGAAGTCTTAAGCAGATTAAAGAAACAGAGACCTACATGCTATATGCAGAAATACGATTATATCAATTACAAGAAATCACACAAATGCATTAAATATTAAAATACCATTAGAATATAGATTAAGCAATTGATGATAAATTAAAGGTAAAGTTAAAAAAATAAAAATATATATACATACATTGATATTCGTTTATTTTTTTTATTTTCAACTTCAACTCCAAACGCCT